GAATATCTATAAATAGGTTAATTGTAAATGTTGGTGTAAATTAATAAGATATAAATTTGGAAATGATTGTATGGTTATATGAAAAATGTGTAAGGGAAAAAGAGATGGGGTAAGGACAAAAAGTAGAAAAAAAGTTTTGCAAGAGAGTAAATATTGAATTTAGTTGTAGTTTGACCAATATTAGGTCAAAAGTCTTCATTTAGAGCTTGTTTTAACCGGGTGACTGTGTACTACAACTTTAATTAAGAGTAAAAAACAGGTTAAGGCAGTATAAACTGCAAGATAATTAAAAGTTATAAACTGGAGGCCAAAGGTCGTCAGTACAATTTTCTCGATGGGTTTAAAATATAGGACCTTAATATTTTCAGAATATATGTAAAATGATCAGTTGAACAAGTTTATTTAAGAGCCCAGGACAGGTTGTCTTAGTAAAATAAATAGTTATAAGTATTTTTAGATAGACGAATTTTTTAGTTAATTTTTGTGCAATGGATTTGCAGAAAGAGTTTTTTTTCCGAATATATATATACCAAATTATATAAGTATCTTTAAATTATTATTTTTATATTATATTATTAAATTATACATATCTAAAATATATTGATCAATAAACTATAAGATGATTAACTTGAATATTTTGATTAATATATTAAATTTTTTTATAATTAATATAATATAATATGATATATATCATCTTATATCATTTGAAATGACCAAAAAAATTTTATTACCAAGCTAATAGTATATCTTCTTATAATTTATTAAATCTTTAATATATAAACTTTTTATTTTTAAAATATTACCTTATAACTTCTTTATAATATCATTATTATTTAAATAATATTTTAATAATTTTTAATATTTTTATTCAAGATGTAACAAATTTTTCTATTATTATACTTATATTGGCTTATTTTTATATTCTTCTAATTTTATAGCAGTCAGCTCTTATTTAGATAATTGTTTGTTAATATTTAAATTATATTTTTGATTTTGATCTGTATTTTTTATTTTTTTTATATTACAAATTCTTACTTACTTTTTCTTTAGATCTTGTGCTTTATTAGAAGGGTTAATAGGAGTCAGGATTAAGATCTTGAACCTGAAACTGATATAAAGATAGTACCTGTTTACTTTTTTTTTTTTTTTTTTATATTTTTTTGTATTATTACTAATTCTTATTTTCTTTTTCTGTAGATCTTATGTTTCACAAAAAAGAGTTAATAAAGACTAAGATCTTAAGTCAAAAATGTTAATAAAATAAAAGTACTTAATATTTTAGTTTTTTTGTTAATATAATATAGTTTTTTTATTATGTAATTATTATGTAATTATTATTTAATAAAAATTAAATAAAAAATTATATTAAATAAATAGTAATTAAAAAGTAAATAAATTAATAAATAGTTTTAAATATTTTTAATTATTTTGTATTATAATAAAATTTTTTTAATTATTTCATAATATTATAAAATTTTTTTAATTATTTCACATTATTGTAAAATTTTTCTAAATATTTTATATTATTGCAAAATTATTCTAATCGTTTCTAATTATTAAAAATTTTTTTTATTATTTTATATTATAACAAAATTTTTTTGAAATTTTACAATATTATAAAATTTTTTTAATTATTTCACAATATTGCAAAATTTTTTCATTTTAAAAAAATTTTGTATCAATTGCAGTTATTTTAAAAGATTTTTGATATACAAAATCTTTCACAATATTTGCTTCAATGTAGTTTTAAAATAGGCAACAAAATATAGTTGTTATATTACAAAATTTGAACCAAGAAATCATTAGAGAAATTGAATTACTAAAAACTAAAACTATACACTATTTTTAAACAAATTAATCTAGTAGTATACTGATTAGTATTATCTTTGTTTTTTATACTTTGATGCTCTTTTCATTGACATAAACTATTTTTATCCTTTTTATTAACACTTTTTTCTTTTTTCTACAACCTATCTGTCATTCTTTTAGTATTTTTCATTAAATTTTTATTCTTTTTACAATGACACACAACTCAGCATATGATGATGCATTTACACAACCATAGACTTTATCTGTCAAGATAATATTACCTTAACAGATGTCTTCCAAATTGGTGACAAAAAAATTTTTAAAACATTGAGTCTGAGATAAAATTTTGTTAAAACTAAAATATTACATCTGATTAATTAATTTTAATTTTCAACTAAGAAACTTTTTTTTTTAAAAAAAGGTGTTGCTATATAATTCCGAATTTATCAAATATTACGTAAAAAATAAAAAATAAAAAAAAATAATATATATGATCGCTTTAATTTTATCAAAGCTATCGATCACTATTATATAATAGATTTTATTATATTGGGTGGGTGAAAAGTCCTTATATAGGACCTTTTTTTTTATTATTTTTAATATCCATTACACAATGTATATCTATCAATGTGTAATCGTTAAATAATAATTAAAAAATGTCCTATATTGGGACTTTTACCCACCTGGTATAACTCAACATTTTGTTATAAATTTGAAAGACAGAAGGTTGGTTAATGATACACATATAATTATTATACATAATACAGTATATTTATATTACAAAGCAATGAAGAAATTTTGCTACCCAAAATTCTATAATACAAATAGGAATTAAAAAAAAATTACTAAATTTTCAAAAACAATCAATTTAGCGAAAACTATGTAGTCGAAAGATCATTATTATTAAAACTCTTAATTTGTAAATTTTTAATTTGCAACTTATGAATTGATGGTTTGAAATAAAATAAAATAAAATAAAAATTTAACTATCAGGAACTGATGAAACACTAATACGCTTGCTAGTATTGCTTACTAAAATTATAAAATAAATATTAGTTAATACGTTAATTATTTGAAACAATAAAAATTAACAATTACCTAATTCCTGTGAAATAGTAATTAATTGACTAGTATAGATTGCCTTCTCTGATGTTATATAATCTAAAGAAGCTTCCTCTAGAGGAATGTCGAAGTTCTTATTTGCTTCAATGGACTTAATTTCAGTCCATATTTCATGATCTTTTTGCCTACAACTAAAAAGCTCATCAAGTAATTCAATAGCAGTCGGCCGGTTATCTGGATCTTCACTCCAGCAACGTTTGATCAAATCAACAATAATTTTTGGAGTGTTATCTTCATCAATATCTGGATGAATTTTTTTACATGTAATAAGAAATGCAAGCGCATCATCGTGTGGGATATTATAATACGGTTTAAAACCCACCGCAACCTGATTCATTACAACTCCAAAAGAATAAATGTCAGAAGCTTGTGTATATGGTTTTCCAAGTAATACTTCAGGATCAACAAATGGTAATACACCAAAAATTTGGTTTTCTGCTTCGGAACTAATGTTTTTGCAAAGTCCAAAATCAGATATATAAGAAACATCATCATCAGAAATGATAATATTTCCACTATGAAAATCCTTATGTATTAAGTTTTCTTCATGAATTTCAGAAAGCCCTTTAATTGCAAAGTATAAAATATCTAACTTTTGTTCCCATTTTATGCGTTTAAAGTATTTATGCAAATAATCATGAAGACTACCATTTTTTTTGTATTCCATGATCATAATGTAATTACCAGAATTTGGACATTTTGTTACTCCAAAACATCTAATAATAAAACCAAATTCCACGAATGAGGTCATTTGAGTTTTAATCTTTAATAATAAAAAAAAGGACAGCATTAATTTAATTGCTTATAAAAAAAATTCATAATTTGAAACATTAAATTAGATACCTCTTCAAAAAATTCATCAGGTATATTATTCTTATCATTTAAAATTTCTATAATTTTAAGAACAATATCAGTTTCTCCAGCTCTATGCCATTCTTGAATATCTTTATCATAATATTCAATAGGACCGTATCTCCATTTAGCTTTATATACACTCCCATAACCACCCTTAGCGAGATATTCAACGTCAGAAATATGTTCAAATGGAATCCATTCTAATACTTTATTATGACTAATTGCTTTCAATTGAATTTGATGGATAAATTTGTCTATGACCTCATTGCCACTTGTCCATTTATCGAATTCCTTTTCAAAATGTTTAGCATTACAAGTTCTACACCAATTATCATCAGTTAACGGCTTATCACAACCATCACTACATTTTTCATATCTATATTCATCATCTGAATTTGAACTCATTGATCAAAAATTTACATTATTTACTAAAATATGAACGAGAAAGAGAAAGTAAAATGTAAAATTAGCAGATAAAGATAGTCATTGGTGTACAATTTATAAAAATCCAGTGATCTGGTTGAATGATCTGTTATTGTTTCTATTTCCGGAAACATTATGACATTACGTTTCACAACATTTTAAAAATAAGGTTTGTCATCGCAAATTGTTATCGTTATTATTAAATGAATTATAATCAATCTTGAATCTACCATGTTTATGTGCGAGTCACATATGAGTTTACGTAGAATTTCACGGTGATACATAACTAGCATTAATAAGATCAGTGGAAATGTAAGTATGTGAGGATTGAAGTGTTGCGTTATACTTTTGTCAGAGTTCAAATATCAAGGATATACAGTATGTGTTTAATGGAAGAGATTGTTATGAACTAACTATTTTTGGACTTTTTATCTTACTAATCTGTTACGTATAATATACATGCCATATTATATAAATAAGCTTCGCAATCACAATATTAACGTTAAACTATTCATGATACTAGTATGGCAAGGATTTTAAAACTGTAGTATTTGATTGGTTCTATAACGGTAACTATTTTTGTAAAGCCAATATTTGGGGCTTGCCGATAAATTAAAGTTTTGATAATGTTATTTAGTTTTATTATACGTAGTTATTCACCAATCTAATAATAATAATAATAATAATAATATCAATTTAATCACATTTAGAAGCAATCCCAAGTCAGTAATAAAAAAATTGAGAATAAATACGTATAGATTCTTGATTCGAAGTGATAAAACGATTAAATTATGATAACCAAATATTAGTTAATTAGGCGGCAAAGCCCGCATGTGTAACTGTTACTTATCAGTATGTACAATGGCTGGGCACTATTTATTGTCATAGTTGGATGGCAAATGTCAAAAATAGAATATATCGACAAACATTAACATTAACGTTTCATTTTTTTACCTTCAAATGTCATACATACCCTACAAATGTCACACAATTTGTTCTTATGATTATCCGAAAGCCATTTTTCCGAAAAGACATAATTCTGATAAAATCAGCCAACATTAGTTATAGTGCTGGTCGATTTTGTCGGCGTTACATCAAAAGAATAGTATTTGAAGATCTGAGTTACAATAATTTAAAGAGTATGTTAGCACGTAGATTGTTCTTTCATTTAATGACATTTTATGATTGTTTCAAATTTATTTATTATTTTATTATATATTTTAAATAAAAAATCTAAATGCTTTTTTTTTAAAGCTTATTTCTTATAAACTTATTTAAAAAACATTTCAAAAAATTTTTATAAAAATTATTTTACGTTTATGAAAAAACCAATTTGATTAAAGATGAGTTTGCAAGAGAATAAACTCATACCTATTGATAAATTACTTAAAAATTTTGAAAATGAATCTTTAAAACCTCAAGTTATATTATTAACTTGTGGTTCTTATATTCCTATTCATAATTTTCATATTGAAATTTTTGAAATTGCAAAAGAATATTTAGAAAAAGAAAAAAATTACAAAGTAGTATTAGGATATATTTCTCCTTCTCAAGAAACATATATTATTCAAAAAAAATACCTTAAAGAAAAAATCTCATTAACTGATAGAATAGAAATGATTAAACTTGTGACAAATGAATCCTCATGGATTGATATAACTACTTGGGAAGTTTTATCTCCAAAAAATAATAAAGAAGTTATTAGTTATCATCATGTTGTTAAAGAAATATTTAAATATTTAAAAAAAAATGAACAAATCAAACAATCTTTAAAAGAAAGACAATTGAAATTAATTTATTTATGTGGATTAGATCAAGTTTCAAAAAAAGAAAGAACTGGATTAAAACATTTAGAAAAATTTGAAATTGCAATAATTGAAAGATATCTCAATGACAAAAATGAAGATAAAGATTGGAAAGACTATTGTAAAGAAAAATTTAAAGAAATGTATAAGGAAGATAAGTGGGACATTCTTAAAAATCAAATTATTTTAATAGATCATAATAATAACAATGAAATTAGTTCTAAAAAGATTAGAAAATTAAAAAATCAGGGTAATATTGAATGGGAAAAAATGTGCAATCCCAAAGTTGTAGAATATATTAAGAATAACAAAATTTTAAATTCTTAAAAAAAATTTTTAAATACACGTTACGTTTTATTCTATACTATATATTAACATTACTTTTATTCTATACTATATATTAACATTACTTTTTTCTATACTATATATTAACGTCACTTTTATTTTATACGTACTATATATATATGTATTACGATTAACTTTTTAGTTTATTACTAAGACGTATTTAGTATTCTTTTAAATAAAAAACATTATTTAAGCAAACATGCACATACGTAATTTAAGTTATGATTACGTAAGTATAATTTATAACTTATCAGAAAAGTTAAAAAACTTGACGCTGAATATCGAACTTTAAAAGGATTTGTTAATTAAACTATAATACCTTCTAATTTTATAAAATATAGAATCAAGGTTTTTATTTACATTGTTTCAAAATACTCTATTATAGTTGATATCGTCTTTTTTTATAATCTTTTTCAATTCCTGAGCTTTTTCTTTTTTTGGTTTGAACGAATTTTATTACGAATTAGTTGAAACAATTACAGTATCTTCAAACAAAATCAAATTTCTATGATTGATTAAATTTACCGCATTACAATATGTTACGTCAATCACTCACTGTTAATTCTTACAAATAAAGTATTTCAAGAGTTGTTATCGATTTCGAGGGCTTGCACAAGAATGAGCTTAGCTTTGATATTAACGCTATATATCAACTATGCATAGTGAGAATTATTAAAGCAATTATTTAGAGATTGATCATGAGGTATAGTTTCAAAATTGATACAGTGAATTTCCGGTCACATACGTATGAATTAACAATTATTTATTTAAAAAAGTTGTTGCAAAGTCGAATGTCTAGTATCAATTGAATTCTAGAAAATTTACAATTGATCAAAAAATCGTACATACATATAATATAGCAAGATGAAAAAGCAAGATGTCAATAAATTATTATGCTTGAAAAGATTTATGAGGTATAATGAACAAATTTACTTTATTATTTTTGGCTGAACGGAACGCAAATTTCTTTTCCTCAATACTTGGTTTTCAAAATATTATTGATAGTGATAGTGATGGGCAAATGCGCATGAGCGCGAATTTTTTTTATGATAAAAGTGTGAAAAAACAACGCTTAAATCCCATAATGCGATCAGATTAAGACGTGGGTAGAGATGTGCATCTCGCGCGAGATAATATAAATAATTTATTATGGAATGTAATGGTTAAAAAGTCAATTCCGGCCAGAAATTAGTAAACAATCATGTAATTCGAGCGAAAATTTTGCAGATCCACGGCCATTAGCCAATCAAAATCGAGGATCTGACAATTTTGTTGCGGCAATTTCGACCTCCTGATGCGTCATAGGCAGAAGTTTTCTTTTTAAAAAAACGAAAACTAATCATAATAGAAGAGCTGTAAGACTCCATAGCCAAAAAAAGATCTGATTTTCGTCCGTTTAAAAAAGTTAGTATGGTAGCAACTTCTCAAAACCCGATAAAATCAACTTATTACTAAGCTAATTTTTTTTTAAACGGACGAGAATTAAATCTTATTTTTGACTATGGAGCCCTACAGCTCTAATGAAACCTTCTATACAGCTTTTTTTTTTATTTCATTATAGTTAGTTTTCGTTTTTTTTTAAAAAAAGACTATAATTAGTGTAAAATTAAATTGAATTTATTAGTCAATCAGAAAGCTTCTGCCTATGAGCGCCAATGCAGTCATCCTTGTAACAAACCTTTTTATATGCATCTATGCTCTATAACAGTATAATGAACTCCTTTAAAAATATTTAATAGCGGAACATAGTAAAAAAAATTTTATTATAAGAACTGTCAGTCACTATACTAAAGTTAACTGTATACATTTGTACGTTATTCATATGCTGATAAAAAATAAGGGTGACTCATATGCAAAAATACAAGAAAACACGATAAACAAACGATTACAACACATTTACGCTATAGTGAAGTTCTCACTACAACTTATAATGAGACAATACTAGGCTTGAAAATACTAGACTCGAAAATATTATATAATTATTTCAAAATTCTTTATTATATTAAGAGTTCATTATAACAACGGTGAGTTATATTTGGGCACTGGTTCTTTTCATAATTTAACTCGTGTATATTTTTAGAATTCTACAATCTTTTATAACTTTGTTTTAATAATTATTTATTTGTGTTAATTCGGTTCATGAATGAAGGCAGATTCGTTTATAAACCAGTTGCAGCAAAAGTTTACTATAACAGGCTTCTTTGGACGTAATGAACTTTGAAATTTTTAAATTTATATTATTGAGTTTCTAACATGTAGATTTTATATACTTAATAAATTCAATATCATTTGAACAATTTAATTCATGTTTACTGTTCATTTTAAATCTGTTCGAGGTTAGACATTTGAATTTTTTTGCCATGATATTTTTTGCATGAAATTACGTAATCAGTTTTGCAATACATCACAGAAAAAACTTCACATGGTCATATTAACTATCCAATAACATCATTATTGAACATACGCACGACAAATAACAGGCAATTTTTTGTCGTCTGCCCAATAAAGTATACTTATTAATCAAGTTTCTCTTTAGAATCAGGCCTACCAAATAATTGATTGTGGGAACTCAATTGTTTGATGGTGCAGTCACAGAAAGTCGCTAATTGCAATTTTTGCAGTTGTTTAAAAAATATAATGACTTAATAAAATACGTAATAATAAACATAGGTATAAGTAGAGTTTTTAGGAGAAACCTAGGGGTTTCACCACCAGTGAAAGGCGAAACTGGTTTCGACTTTCTTCAAAAAAAAATCAAAATGGTGAAACTGGCGAAAGGTAATGAAAATAGTAAAGTGCCAATACAAATAAAAAGTCAAAACCCTTTTATGTAAGCATCGACTTTTTTATTCCTACTTGTTTAGTTTAAATTGCCATAAAAATCACGTACGTACCTGATACGTATCATGTATTTGCAGCAATGCGCACATTTTCCACAATCAGAATTTCTATAATCATTAATTGCATTATTAGTTAAAATAATTTTTATGTTTACTTATGAATCAACTAGATCATCTAATAGAAATCCCGCTATTTTTTATTTGATGAATGTTTTTTTGATATATGTATCAAAATTATGCAACCCATGACTAGATAAAAATAATGTGATTTCAGTATTAATATAGCTCTAACCAATATTTATATTAAAATATAATAATTGTATATAAGGCGCTTGCAGCTGATTCTTCAATTAACATCAATATAGATTTATATATTTGTTTTTTAGTTTTATTTTTCTAGTCATAGTTTTTTTACCGAGCAGGTGAATTGATAATCAAAGACTGTAACGAAAGACTAAGCGAAAGAATTTGCAAGAAAACTGTAGCAAAAGACTAAGTGAAAGAATATGCAAGAAACGAGAAATAATAAGCCACTTACCATTTATGCTTGTATAAATTGCACAAATGTGGACAAATTAATGTTAAAACTTGATCAGCCAATTAATTAATACAAACACTAAAGTGACTACTGTACAAACATGAATGTAGGAATGTAATGAATCACGAGATATATGACTTACAGATAGTATGTACATCTGCAAAATCTAATATTAATAAGTTTCTGTACAATATTGTCATACTGAACTAGGAACGAATAAATATAAGCCTGATTTAGAAATACTGGATAACTCTGATGCGAAACAGTTATATCGATATCTAGTAACAATAATTGAATTCAGATGCTTAAATAGATATCGTGTATCATGTTTCCAACAATAGCCATTGATCCATTGATTAAGCCATACTCAAGCTATGGTTTCAACATTCATGGCTCAAGCTAGAGCCACGGTTTTTTAGAGCCAGTAACCTGTCTTCATTAAATAAAAAAGATTATGAACTAATGTTGCCTGTCGCAAAGTCGCAACTTAATCTTTACAGCTTATTTATGTTGTAATTATTACAAGTCATATATATTATATTAACGATGTCACATTCTATTGTGACAATAAGTTACAACCCTAGTTGCACTATAAAAAAGTCGCATTTCATATTTTCAGCAAGCAATACTATTGTGAACCAAATTCTTCCAAAAAAAAACCCCCCAAAAATTTGAAGGTTTCTCGGATGGTTTAGGTCAGAAAATTATGTGACTACCCTCAATTATTGGTTACGCTGATTCTTTTCATTTCTGGTACAAAATATAATTGAATCCCGATGACGAGTTTTCCCTTGACGGCACTCATATAGGCCACGTGCGGCGATTAATAGTCACATGCAATGTATTTTTATTTATCAACACGACTCAGCCTTTCCAAAGTCTTAATGGATTTGATCCTCACCGAGAGTTCTGACCTTTGCTAAAAGTTTCACCCTTTTGCCAAGATTTATCATTTCGCCAGGGGGTTTCGTCTTTCGTCGGTTTTAGATTTCGTCTTTCGCCTAACAACTATAGGTATGAGTATATTTGCTGATATTTGACGTTAAAACTTGTAGTTTTTGAATTAAAATTGTACAAACCACAAGAATATTAATTTACATTCCTTTACAAAGACATATGTATAGTATAACTTTCTAAATCTTTTTTTTTAAATCGGTTCCAATGAATACCAAAGTTCTGAACAAATGATACATAGAAAGAAATGGGTACGCGCAGGATACGTAGTATAATATGAATGCTGCTAGTAGAACCGAAATGTCCGATAAATTTTGACTGTCATTCCGCAATATTTCGGCAACAAGAGAAATTTGAAACCAGTTGATCGATTATATGTCCCGCGAATCCCGCGCGGGATTTTTGATCCATGATTTGCCCATCACTATACAAAGATGCAGACGTTAGTGTAATTTATGTTTTCTGGCCATAGTCGATAGTCGATAGTGTTCTTTCAGATCCCAACCGATAATCAAAAGTATGATCTCTTTTGATGCCTTTTTTAGACCTTCAAATGATGGCAAATATCAGTGTAATTTATGTCCTTTCAGAAAAATGGATTTCGGGAAGTTAACC